TGATCTCGCAAAAGACGAAAAGGCGGCCTTGCGCGCGTACTTTACTAAGAACCCTACCCAGGAGGAGAAAGCGTCTACTATTCTACCGACCTGTGAGGACGACGACGCGAGGGTTCAATATCTGCGGAACCTGCTGGAACCGTCAGCAGGTAACGACTTTGTGATTCGGGCGTTGGGGACATAGGGTAGTGTGTACATAGAGTAGAGTAGTCAAGGTAGGGCTGCTTTGTGACTCGACGTTAGGCATGAATAGAGTGTAGAGCCAAGCGCAGCAAAATACTTGTTTCTGTTTTCTATGATTTGCCTGTAATCTCATTTATTAACTTATGCCTCACTGATATCAGAACGGGGGAAACGAAAGGCGGAGGGAGAACGTAAGCTTATACAGAGTTAACCTTGCTCTATATTACTCAATAACGCGTTGTTTTTTCACTTTTCTAGTTGAATCTATAGAAAGCATGAAACGTCGAATAGTTGTTGCAAGATATAGGGCAGATTTTCTAGCACTCGACACTTCCCATTGCGCGAATATAGTGAAAGGGGAATTTTTTAAATTGGACAAGTCTACCATCACAGAATCTTCATTTAAGGAACTCTTTGGGACCAACGAATATATCCTTATCCGTCGTGATATGGAAGTTCTAATTGATGAATTGAAGAAAGGTCCCTTCACGGAGCGAACGAATTTAACATACCTCTTGAAAGGCGCGGGTGGGGTTGGTAAAACGACGACGCTGTATTTCGCTGCTATTATCGCTCAAAGATCGGGATGTCTTACTATGTATATCAACGCCAAATTTTTTACGAATGGTACACGATGGATCAATCAGAAAGTGTGCGAGTTTTTGGAACCATGGGCCTTGCGAAATCAGGACTAAAGCAACTTCCGTCATCATCAAAAGTTACAATGTTTGATGCGGCTATGGAAGCAGCAAAGGATATTCAAAATTCGGTCGTACTCTTCAATTTTCTCGTTGAAGATCTCCAGAGGACAGTTCGGGTTCCTGTTGTTATTTGCATAGACCAATATAACGCGTTCCTTGTGGATCATGAGGCAGTTCTGGAGTATAACAAGGCGCCGACCACTATATCATGGGGAAGCAATCCTATTGGTAGGATATTCTCCGACTGGAATAACTTCAATGTCCAACGAGGTGCCGTCCTATTTGCCTTCACATCTTCCTATCACGGCGGTAAAACAGCAATTGATGGAAACTCGAGACTATTTACACGTATTTCACCCTACAACAACGATGAATGGGCTAAAATGACCAATCGTTACACAGACAGTTTGCCTCCCGATACTGGTTTCCTAAGGAACTTTGTCGGTGGTATACCTAGAGAACTCGGCCGCTTCATGAAGATTTGGGCTAAGGAACGTCATAATGGGGTAGACAACGTGATGAAACTTTATACTAAGGATGCAACAGATTATTATAAAGAAAGAATTCAGAGGTTGTTGGATAAGAAGAGAATGAAAGAAGATGTCAAGGAAAGCACCGTATTCGCAGCAAAAATTTTTATGGGATCACCTATGGATGATGTACCAGATTCGTGGGAAAATTCTGGGATGGTGGTGGTACGAGGACAAACTTGTAAGTTATGCTGCCCTGCAGCAGAGTTGGCAATATTTAAAGCGTTTGACGACAGCCACACAAAAAATGCCATCAGCATATTGAGAGGGGATAAAACGATAAGCTGGCGGGTGCTAGAGCTCTGTGTGCAACATCGCTTTCGGATGGCAGCTATGAGCGCCAATATTGTTGAAATGGAGTATACGGATCTAACACAAAAAAAAGAAAAAGAAAAAATTCAAATATCTGCCCAAAACATCATTATTCATAACGATATTCCTGTCGAGCTTCCGACCATTCATCCAGGAACAGTTTATATTTGTTGGCGAGGCGCAGCTGTGGTCGATTTTTTTATTTACAATCACGATTGCAAGAAGATATTTCTACAAGTATCCGAACAACCTTATGCAAAGCACAAAACTAAACTTCCCGATCTATTTACCACCACCATAACCCGTCATAACCTTTCTGTTTACGACTTTTTTTCAAAATGCATTGACGAGACATATGATCCATCAGATCGAAATTCCCTGGACGAGAATGATTATTATGTTTATTTGACTACTAGCGACAGTAAGATGAAAGTACCAGACGAAATTCACAAAAAAGTCTGCTTAATTCCTGGGAAACTAGCAAAATCATTTCTTCGTTTGTATGAATAGTCATTAGTAGTATCCATGATCTGATTTGTTTTTTGTCTTCAATTATATTCCAAAATAAAAAATTGACTATAGTTGTCTAAAGCGTCTAAAATCTTTCAGTTTCTTTGATGAGAATGAGTTTAACTTTGACCTCGTTAACGTGCCTGAAGCACAGGTCGCGATAGAAGGAAAAAATCATATACAGTCAGAGCTGGTTATAAGAACTCTGTTTGATTTCACAAAAATTGTTCTTATAATACAAATTAACGGATATAATGTAAAGCACATACAGTATAGTGACTTTGATCAAATTAAAGAGATCGGAGCTGGTGGTTATGGAACAGTTTATACTGCCAAATATAAAACGTATGGGATGATAGAAACTGTTGTACTCAAGCGGTTTAAGAGTTTTGATGAAACACCGGAATTATTTATTTCAGAGGTAAGCAACAATTGGTAAATTTAGTCATAGACTGTGACCAATTATTTGTCACTAGGTACTCTAAACCATACAAAATGATAAAATTTATATATAGGATTACCCGTATATGGAAAATTATAATTATAATGGTTCGATGACTGAATATGAAAAAGCAGTGCGTTTCTTGGAGGTAGGTTGCAATTGTGGTTGCTCTCAAAAGATTCCGAGAGAAAAATTCGCCGAGTTACGTGAGGCATTTCAAGCTCTCTCTAGATCTGAACAAGATATATTTGTAATGGCCCAACTGAAAGCGATGAATGGCGGAGAAATAGCTGCCAGTCGACGTCTTAAAAAGAAAACGCGTACTAAAAAAGAACTTTTTATTATTGAGATCGCAATACGCCTCTTTGTCAGAAAACGTATCTCAATATGTTAGGAATTGGTCGCACTCACTTCGAAAACATCAGAAGTCACCTAGCAACGAACGGTATAATACCGCGTGTTCATGGTAACATAAAACGAATGCCGCGATGAAAAACCAAAATAACCATTGATATAACCGTTGCTATAGCCGTAAAGAATTTTCTCGAAAATTATGCTGAAATTCATGGATTACCAAGTCCTGGTAAAAATGTAAACCGAATTACTCAATCGCTTACACTTTTGCCAGCCGAAACGAGTTATAAATCAGTCTATCGTGATTTTATTGCAGGTCTCGAAAACGATAGCACGTTGAAATTGTTAAAATATGATGCGTTTCGCAAGTTATGGCACCAATTAACGCCTTATATTCAAATCATGAGTCCACGAACGGATTTATGTGACAAGTGCCAACATTTTCGGAACGGAATGCTCGTAAGGAAGAAGAACGAAAGATTTATTAAAAAGATACAAGGAACATTTAGTTAAGGCTAAATTAGAGAGAAATTATTACAACAAAAATACGAAATTAGCAGAACAACAAAGGAAATTAGTAGACGAGAATTATCTTATGGCAGGAGGTAAAACTGATTATTGTAGCATTAACGCGACTGCACATTACAGTTACGATTGAGCGCAAAACGTTCACGTACCCCATTCCGATCAACAGGTAAGTAAGATTTATTATCTCAGTCCCCGTAAAGTGCATTTATTTGGTATCCAAGATGAAGCAGTACGCGAACAAATTAATTACGTTCTCGATGAAAACGAAATTATCGGCAAAGGTCCTAATGGCACACTAAGCATGGTATTCGATGGAATAAAGAAATTGAATAAAGGCAAAAAACATCTAAAGATTACTTGCGACAATGCAGGTGGTCAAAATAAAAATAATACTACCATTTGATTTTATCTGTATTTGGTAATTTGCGGTTACTATGAAAGTATCGAATTAAATTTTATGATACCAAATTCAAGTGTGACGGTAGTTTTGGATTGATCAAGAAACTATATCGCAAAACGACAGTAGATTGCGTAGGCCATATTGTTGAAATTGTGAAAAGATCGAGTACAGCCGGATTAAACAAAGCTCAGTGTTATGACAACGGAAAAGGCTTTCAATACTTAGATCTTAATTCTGTGTTGGGGATTTTCTTTAAGAAACTGAATGGCTTGCAAAAATATCAGCATTTTCTTTTTGAAGCAGCTAATCCTGGAATTGTCAAAACTCAAATAGTTGCTAATGGCGCTTATACTGAATTTAATTTATTGAAAACCAGAAAAGCAAATGTTTCTGAAATTACCAAAGAAATTAAATCTTTTTCCATCTTAGTACTAACCCCTCCTCCTTTGGATTACAAAAGACAAGAATATCTTTATCATCATATTCGCCCATTTGTTAGAGATGAATTCAAAGACATTACTTGCCCAAGCCCAACCTATACTGGCAATGAATAAAATTATTAAAATAATCATATACTTAATATTCCCTCATAAAAAGGATATAAGTATCATTAAGAAAGCAAATAAATAAAGAAAAGTATGGTAAACATTATAAGCAAACTCGAGCAGAGAAATAAAAACCTATTAGAAGAAAACGAAAATTTAAAACAACAATTAATTGAATTAGCAAACAAAGAACAAGATTTAAACTTAAGAATTTATAACACAGTTGAAAATGTTAAGGAAAATGAAAGCCCAGAAATTGCTGGAACTTTAATGACCTTAGAACAACACTTTTTACCCAAAGACATTAATGAACTCACTCTTGAAGAATTTGTTAAGGGTTGCACTGAATGAACATTGCTTAGTTGTAATTCTCTCAGTTATGTTTCTGAACAAAATAAAAAACTTGAAGAAAAGAATGCTGAGTTAGAAAAAAAAGTTGTTGAATTAGTATTCCTGGTAAATTTCATAAGTAATTTTTTCTTTATCTAGATATCCCTCAAGAATTTGGTGTCATTAATTTTAAAAATATAAGGCGCAATTTTTTTTCCTTGAGCTTTTTTTAAAATACTTTTAATAGTGCTGTAATTTTTTGGTTTCATAGTAGATTTGATGTAAATTAGTTTCATATTTATTTTTTTGCATAGGCATAATCCTATATTAATATTAATATGCTATAGCTTTAATAAAGCTCTTTCAGTTTCATTTTGGCATAACATACTGACATTTTTTTTTCAAAAATTTAGTGCTTTTTTATACAGCATTACTGTTTTATTATTATATTTTTATATGCATATATCCCTACTACTTATACTACATATTAATTTTTGTTAATTTTCAGTTTTTGGATTGTTCATGTAACTATCTCTTCTTCTTAGATGTAGTCAGTACAATAAGCTTGACCCCAAATATTGCCATTTAAAATTGAGGATTTACAAATCACTAAAAATATCTCTGCAAAACCATGTAGCCTTTATTGTTGTTACATAACTAGATATATATTATGCACAGTTTGTCTGATTTTGTAAAATTTGATAATATTGTGTATAGTTTGTACAATACATAAGGGTAGCCATGTATATAAAATTGAAATATATGAGACTTATCTATATTAGATCCATTATGGAGCCCAAAAACTATAGTACTTTATGCTCTCTTTTAAAGCAAGAGCAAATCGCTCCTTATATTTTCAAAATATCTGACACCAAAGCCATTAAACAATATCTGGACAAAGAAGGAATAACTTATGAAATTTTAATTTACCAAGAGGAAAGGTCAGAAAAAGCTCTAAACAGACACTGGCAGAACCATTTCAAGAATCAAGGAAAAAAAGGAAATTAGAGGAATAGAGAATCACAGATTGTCAGTTTAGTTTCAAGTATTCGTATCATATACATCAGGGTAAGCTTGTGTGTCTTTACTGTAAGTGAAGTTAATGTGATAATGACAAAATATCTAGCTTCTTATTCTGTCATTTAGGTTTGATAGAGAAAGAATTTGTATCAAAACGAGTTAACTGAGCCTTATATTTACTAATGAGTGAAAGATAGTTCTAGTTGCTACATAACTGTTTGCTTTAGCATTAATGGTGCTGACAGTAGCTGAAGTGATGGTTAATCTCCCATGCTGTGCTTGCTAAGCATTACTTCCTCTGTGATCTCTAACTATTACATCTCATATGGTTTCTCTCATTGCAAAATAAATTCACGAATGCCAATAAGCGATTCCAACACTGCTCTCCTACCAGCTGGATCTGCAAGGTTCAAACCACTCTGATCGTTATTAGTCGGAGGCCACCTTTTGATCACGACTGAATGCTGCGTTGGTAAACCATTGGAAAGTTCTGTCCAATATCCTCCACGAATTTCAGCTTTGTAGAATGTAACATATGTCGAAATGACGCGGACACCAAATATAATTTGATCTATTACTGCACGGGCAGCACCTATGTTTTCGGATCCATATGCAAGCATTTCTGCAGCAATCTGCACTTCGCCAAAACCAGTTTCTGGCCTAACATTTCTTATGTGTTTATCCTGTTAAAAAGGTTGTTTGAGTTGACAAAAATTATGGGCATGTTAAGCAATCAAAGCATGCAAACCTCCAAAATTATCATATGCGCATCTATTCTGCATGCATTTGTTGTTGATCTCTTATTAACAACAAACTCTGGGTCTGCTGAGACACGAGGTTGGCCTTCAATGAACAATCTCAACAGTGGGTGATTTCTAGGTTTTGAAGAGCAAAAACTCAGGCATTGGAATGTATCAAAAACAAAAGAAATCTCTATAATTACTCAATCCATGTAGGCCATTCATTTAGCTCAACAATGCGTAGCAGGTCATCCACCAGAGAGTCAGTTGTTTTGGCCGTTCCTATCGCCACAGCTGCATTCAACACAACCTTGTGCAGTTTGTTAATGAAGGTCAGGACAGAACAGTTTGTAATCCCAAGACTGTCAACATCAAAGTTTCCATCAGACAGTATGTTTGGAGTAATTTGAGGAAGAACATATTGCCCTGGAAAATTGGTAACTGCACAATACATGAGATATTAGTATAACATTCACTGAGATAAATATTGAACAATATTAAAATGATGGACTTACCAGCATTTCTAGGGATAACACTAAATTTGCCTGAGGCCCCTTGAAACTTCACTCTCAATGAGTCAATATCTCGTTGCAAGAATCGGGATGCTGAGTTGCTGAGGAAATCAATATCAGAGAGGTGGTCTGACTCTGAAGTTGTTGATTTCTGCTTCTTAAAATTATCACGTGAGGAGGAGCCTTTACGACGTTTGGGAGCCATCTACGATTCAAAGGAATGAGGAACGAGATCGCATGTAGAAAAAAAAACTACAGATGTAGATTACACGACCATGCAACAGAACACGCAACGGCGTTCTGGAAGATTGTGATCGTGTCGTAATAGAGTTTAGTGAAAATATATCGTACGCGTTCATCGTACTCACTAGTTTGTAGTGAGAGAATTCGTAAATAGAGAAGCCTCGAAGAGAGCAGAGAATGCAGACAAGTTATGTATCATAACAAAAAAAAACAACGTCATCAGATAGCAAAGCCACAGTATGATCACTTTGTCTGATTTTGTTGCAGCACGCCCCATGTGATTACTATGGTGGGGGACACATAGACGCATCAAACAAAAATTGATGCATTTCCAACAGTAATACAAGCATTACTGTATTAATAATTCAAAATTTAAGAACGCCATTTTGTTCTTCTTGATAAACGTTAACAAACTGCGTTTAGAAAATTGACAAATGTTACATGTGGTTTGACATATAACTGTTCAAAGTTTGGTTAATTTATATAGTGAGCGGAAATTTGAAACAGCCTTTTCTGGTAAAATTTATCTTAAATTTGGTACATTTCTTAAGGCCTTAACAAAAAAGAAAATCTTGGGGTATATCGATATAGAACCTCCGTACTGTACCTTTTCAAATTCTGTACTGTACTATGGGTAGGCCCTGAAACGATTTTGAATAAAAATTAATAAAATTACTATTGTTGATCATTGACATTTTCAGTAATGATTTCCACTTGAAAGAAACAATTTGATGCGTATATGCCATACCAATGTACTACGTATACTATTAAATAAGGAAATTAGTGTCATATATATATATATATTCGCAAACATGTAAAGAAATAACTGCTCAATAATAATGTAGAAATGGCGGACAGTATAATAAATAACGTAACTAATCCCAGTAAATCCAGATCATTACTCGGTGATGCTCCTGCAAAAATTATGGAACAATTGGAGTTGGCTAAGTATGCGAGAGACTCTGGCATGTTTGCAGATTGTGTTAATGCTCTTGAAGGCATGCTAAGGAGTTTTTTTCAGACTCAAGAAGATTATTCCAAGCGTTTAGAAATTCAGCTGGCTGTTCAGCAACATAGATGCATGGAATTGAATGAGAAATGGAAGAGTGCAGAGAATCAAAGTAGAATGCACAAAAATTATCTCGATGAAACTAGAAAGAGTCTCAGCGAAACCAAAAAAAATCACGACGAAATTATCATAGACGAGCTTCGTGAGAAAATACAGCAATATGAGCGTGAGATCGAAAAGTTTGACGAAAGATATGCTCAACAAGTACAAATTAACGAAAGAAACCAACAAATTATTCATCATTACAAATGTAAATATGATTACGGAATCGATCCCGACAGTGAAGTAATCTCTTTGCGTCAGCGGATTCTTGCATTGGAGAAGCAACTTAGCGAATTTCGGAACGCAACAGCAAAGATCAAAATACACGCCGAAAAACTGGAGGTCTCTTTTCGTCATGAGTTACAAGAAATGCAACAACGTTATAAAGATGCCGAAGCTAGAGAGGCCGCTATTCAGAAAAAGTATGTTCTACTCAAGGATGATATCACTAAAATGTCCATTCAAAACGGTAATGAAGAAGTCAAAGAACTTTCAGCAGGACCTAGTTGCACAAATCCATTGACTGAACTCGAACTGGAAATCAGTGTTTTGCGCGGGCAAAAAGTCGAGTTGGAGAAACAGCTTTACGAAGCACAAAACGCTGCCGGGAAGGAAAAAATAGGGATTGAGAGAAAATCTACAGATGCCGAAGTTAGAACGGCTGAATTGCTGAGGAGAAGTAGTCTATTCAAGGACGGAACTGCTATTGACGATACTACTAACGTCAAACAGGACGATAACGATGAGGATCTCCTCCCACTCCAACTGACGGTAAATATTTTTAAACTGCAAGACAGTTTAAAAGAATTGACCCATATCAAAGGTCGATATGTTGTTCTCGATGCGCAAGGAATCACTGCACTCTTGCAAAAATACAATTGTCAGACTGACTTTATCTCAAAGCCAATCGTCAGCAGTGCGTTGCAAAGACATATTATTGAGAGTGTGTTGCAGGCTACAGACATATATTTCAACGAGTATCTGGATGCGAAAAACAATAGCATTTGGGAACAGTACACTGAGACTGATCTGGACCATTTGCTAGAAATGATTATCTTGAACACAACGTTAAATCTGAATCGTTATATAAGAAAGTTAATAGAGAAACGCAAGGGAAATGACGAATCGACGTGTATGGCCGAAGCAAGGATAGATCAACAAGTGTATGCTGTGCTTGACGATCGTGGCTTTGCGTCCGTCGATCATCCACTTGTAGAACACCTAGTCCTGAGCGTATTGACGGATCTTGACAAATATCGTCAACTTCAGGATGAAACGAGAAAGAAAGATATCGAAAAATTAATCTTTCCCATCATCCGTGAGATTATTCGTATATTTTATTTTAGTTATCGGACCCAAGTTCCTTATGTTGAGTATCACTTTTTCGAGAGAGGGGAAATGTTCGATCCCGCTATAATGGAACGTCTTGACGACGATGGCGAGGAGCCGGGAATGCTAGTTGTTGAGATTTGTTCGTTTCCCCTGATTGGAGTGAATATCAACGATGAGCGGAAGAGGCAGGTCTTCAACAAAGCGCAAGTCCGAGTGAGATCAAGCTAGATTTTAACTATTGGGTGAGGATGTGTTACTTTAATTAATATAATCGTAAAGACCGAGCATAGATTTAATGTAATTACGCAAATACAAGAGATGAGAGCAAGACTATGTTGGGGGGGGGGGGGGGGGTAAATTAAGAATGGACTGTGTAGAATGGTGAACTATAAGACGCAGTTTTTTGGTATTGTGTTGGAGAGAAATTCAAGTAGATGGAAAGGAGGTAAAGGTGAGAATATTTAATGGCTGTTGAAATGGTAGAGAAAACCACAACTTTTTGATAATAAGCCGATCACAATGCAGGCATTGAAATGGTCTCATCACCAAAATTTTTGCTCTTAATGCAACCGTAGTTTCATATCCGAAAGATGGGGATTCGAAATCAGTTCGGAATCCCCCAGCACGTTGAGTAATTTACTCGTGCATGATTTGGCTATTTCGATAGTTTTAACAATTGAGATTTATTATTTTACTTTTACAGCTCAAAACTGATCGATATTAGTTTCTATGATGGACAAGTACATGACTAAAAATACATTATCGCTCGCGAATCATTATTCTATACTCGTTCATTCCCCTCCCACGATCGCATTTTTAATAGTAGTAACAACGAGATAACAGTCCAGTCCTAATATTATGAGACTAACTATGCAGGCGATAACAGTAAGCCACAAAGAATTACGGAAATCCACGACAGCGTCCTTGTTATCACCCGACAAGTCATTATCCGATCCAGTGTTTTCATTCGATCTATCATTGTCCGTTCGGTTAACGTCACTCAGCAGCTTCTTCTTGACGCTTTCAGTATCAATCCTCATTATCTTTGGATGAGCCGTGAAATAGACGAGAGGAATAACAGCAAATGGCAGTTGAATGGACAATGCTACTTGTGACGCAACAAGTAAACTATTAAGTCCACTAGACCCTTTGATAATAGCAATGACCATAGCAGGAATAATAGCCAGCCCGCGTGTGATTAATCTCCTCAACCATGGTCGAATATACCAACCGGTGAAACCCTCCATGACCACCTGCCCGGCCATTGTAGCAGTCAGAGTGGACGACTGTCCGGCAATCAACAGTGCCAATGCAAATAATATTCCAGCAGCTGGACTAAGATAGCGAGATAACAACTGATGCGCATCGAACAAGTCGGCTACTTCGTGCTGCGTCTCAGAATAGTAAAAGTTTGCAGCAGCGACAATAAGAATGGCCGAATTGACAAATAACGCAAAGGTCAAGGCCACTGAAGAGTCCAGGATCGACATTTTTATGGTTGAATAAGTGACTTTCTTGAATATTTCTGCAGTAGTCTGGGGAGCCTCCCCATCCTCCTCTTTGTTAATCATGGCGTTGAATCCGTCTAGCTGTTCTTTATTCTTGCGTACCTTTACGAGGTGAGAATGTAAATAGATATTATGAGGCATCACTGTAGCACCAATAATGCCAATTGCAACGTACAATTGCTCAGCATTGGTAAAGATGCCAATGCTGGGTAAATATCCTCGTAACACGTCAACAGAATCCGGTTTCGAGTATATTAATTCCAAGATGAAACACGCCCCGACCGTACCGACGAGGAACATCACCAGAGTCTCCAACATGCGAGCAGCTCCCAAGCTGTCGTCCCTGTAGAAGAGAAGAAGGAACATGACGTCTGTCGCGGTTATTGCAACGCCCCATGGCAGGGGTATTTTGAAGAGTAGGTTCAACGCAATGGCACTTCCGATAACTTCAGCGAGGTCACATGCGATTATAGCTAACTCGCAGAGGATATATAGCACGTAATTCGTCCACTTGTTAAAAAACATACGGCACGCACTTGCAAGATCTATAGAACAGTAAAGTGGGGTAGTTGAGGGATGTTCGTTAGTATGTGTTGACCTGATTGTGATCGACAAACAAACGTATTCCAAGCAAGACATTAATGTGTCCCGAACTTGTTTCGCCAGTTATAGGGTCGAGATAATAACAACTCTTATTAATAAATCTCATACTTACCTAGTCCAGTAACAACACCCAATTTTACAGACAATCCCTGCAGAAGCATTGCCATCAAATTAGAACAAAAAATGATGAACAACAGAGAGTAACCAAATTGCGATCCGCCTGTGTTGGTGGTTGTTTAGTACGAGAGAATACGCATTAGGACAGCTTCAGATGCAAGTTTCATTAAATTTCAACTCTTTACCAAACGCTCACCCGACAGATCAGTCGCCCAATTTCCAGGATCGAGATAACCAACAGCAATGACTATGAAAGATGCGTCAATACCTGTTGACTGAGATAAACTTTGTGCCATCAACAACTCGAAACAAACATACGATATCCGGGTCCAGCGAACCTGAGAAACTTTCGAAAGTTATGACCAATTCGCCTAAACGTTGTCTTTATATTATTTTTTCCGATACCCAGCGAAAATTTTTTCCCATGTTTTGACTCGTTCCCTTCGACAGTTAATTTATCATCAAAAATCACGTTCGCTCCATTCTTTCCAACGGAATTTGTATCGTGAGATATTGTTTCCTGACGGTAAGCGTCGGCGTGTGAGATTGAGTCATTTGCGGACGACCGAATTTGAATTTGAGGGAGACTGTTGGGAATATTGAATGATGGGAGATTCATTTTTTAAGCTCCCGGAGAGGAGGAGGTTGTCGAATGATAGTGGTGTAATGGAGAGGTGCAGTGGAAAGTTTTGGCGTGAGAGTCGCAAACAAACAGTGCGACAAATTTATTGGTCGTTGTCAACATTCGTTTTTTCCATCTTTCCAAATTTGGTTGAAGCACATATTTGCCAAAAATTTGCAATACGATAAATATAGAACATTATAAAGACAAGTATTAAAATGGCATTCATTGGAACAAACGGTCTTTTGTCCCATAGTCTTGGGATTAAATTCTCTGACTTTTTATGATATTCAAATTGAAGACATGGGGAATGAAGATCAACTGTATTAATAATAAGTCAAAATAGGAAACAAACGAAACTTAAATTTGGTGACAGCGTAATGTAAACCCAAACTAACCAAATAAAAGAGCCATACTGACAGATTAAAAAAGCTTAAACGCCCATAGTAATAGTAAAAATATTTATCAAAAAGTCCGGAACACCATATCGATATTAATATTTTGCCTTGTCTGGATCAGTCATACTTTACTTGGCAATGCGTTAAATCATTTAACATAATTCCAATGTAAAAGGCCACAATATAATCATATGCGAGAGCCGCAACCATATTTATACTATAAGCTTGATGAAGCTAATTATTGAGCTGCTTCAAGTCGACAGAAAGACTTGCTCCGCACCGATAATACTAACATAAGCATCTAACAGTAAGTATACATAAAAATAAAGTTTGTATGACTATTATCGGAGGTTAATTATCATCTGTTTTACTTCCTCTACAATGATAATTTTTTCCCCTGCTCTTTTCGGTCTTTTCCTGTCTGTCTTTTTATAGAATAGTCTGGCGTCGTCGCTTAATATTATGAGCTACTCGTCTTAATAAATACAATGGGGCTGTGGCTGCTCATACAAATGCACAATGATACAAAGTTGCATTATCATTAATTGGAAGATCAAGTACGGTAATAATAATAAGGCAGAATTTATTAAATATGTTATTTATTTTTCTATTTTTAGTCTAAACTGATGTTAGAAGATAATAATAAAAGCTAATGACCCAAAATCTGGGTTATACTTGTCATTGAAACCATCAAAGACGCCAACCTTTCAACTAGTTTCTCACATCCTCAACAAATGTTTGCACTTGTCTGAAACTTCTTAATGCTTGTGCGTGCATTAAAACGGAGCCTCTGACCCGATTTCAGCCCTTGTTCGTTGTTCAATCAAGGCTATTATTCATCGGTAGGTCTTGGCTACTTGCTCTGCAATGAATGCAGACACGGTTTTGAAAATATCGAAAGGAAAAGCAATTTTTTTCCTTAGAGTCACCACGAACATTCTTACTTGAATTACTCAACGTACTCAGCGGATTCTCCCTCTTCCCAACATGTTCTTTCTTATCCTACACAGATATTTTCTGATTAAGGACGAGATGGCTACTACAACAACCTTTTAATCATCAGCCATCGTCAGTATCTACATTTGCTATAGACGCCATACCACGTCGCCACGTAAATCCAGGAACGGTGATAGATACTGGATCATCGATATCTACACTTTCAACACTATCCTCATCTTTGCTCACACTTTTACCCTTATCGCTACTCCTGGCTTCCTGCTCAATTTCATCCTCATCGTCGCTCTCATCTTCACTCTCATCATTACCTTCATCCTCACTTACCACATCTTTAAAGGCAGAGGTGATGTAACTTGCGCGCACGAATCGATTTAGGGGATGAACTACAGTTGTGGGCGTAGTGGGTACGCGTACAGGTGTGGACGTGGGTGTAGACGTTGGTGTGAAAGAAGAGTTTGTGGGAGATGATGGGTGCGCATGAAGAAGAGGCTGAGAAGATTTTCGGTTTGGGTTGTTGCTGGATGATGCGACAGGGTTGCTTACTGGACTTGGAACATTAATCTCCGTTTCCGGGAAAGCTGGAACTCTTATATTTCGTTCCTCGTTGGCAATATTAGTATCCGTAATACCAGTATGTCCTTCATCCCGTCCTGGGCTCTCTTCTTCTCTTACTTCATGCTGGGCTTTGTAGAGTTCGCGCGCGTATGATATACGAGTTGCCAGATTGACGAGCAACATTAGAGAAGAAGACGCAAGTGTCAAAAGTGGTATAAGTGTGTACGTTGGTGAATACGATTTGTAGAGAATCTGGAGACAATAGGAAGAGAGAAAAAAGAGGGCTGTTATTAGCTGAACCGGTTAACGTCATTGTGAATGTAAGTGAAACAGTTGAGCTGGGGTTAGGGTTGGGGATTGAGATGTAGTTAGGTTAAATTGAATGTCTTACTCCATCTCTTTTTTTTTTCTTGTTTCCGATCCATTCACCATTCACGATTTCCTGTCCACAGTACGCATTTCTATATTAAACATTAACCAAGCAATTATGGGAAATGTCGTAATTTGTATGCTTGCAAACGTATATTGATAAGTATCTTCTTACCATGATTATGGATACTTTTACGTTCAATCGAAAGGGATTTTACGTCATCTTCCATCGTGTTCTCGACTTATCCGGTAAGAAAGCACATCCCACTACTACCAACCGCTACCCGTTCGCTCTTTTTACAAATTGAACTACATTTTTTACCTGGATAACAAACTGCGGCCAGTCCTTGAATAATAAATTAGCCAAACCGCCCCAGACAATCACGCATTTCTGTCTGCTTGTGACTCTTGATGAGAACATCTTCACGCCTCCTGCATGTGAGTAGAGTATACTCATGATTTCGATATCAGCGATGGATAAAAGAGCTGCAATTGTTTTTGGAATTACAGACGACATGGTAGATGTGGATGATATACTGGATGAACTGGAAGAAGGGACTGATGTGAGAATGAAGAATAGGAGAGAGAATAGTGTATTTGGGAGTAATGGAAAAAAGACTGCTATTAAACTGTGCGGGGAAATTAAAAGAGGAAAATGAGCGAGCGGGGTGAGTAATGGTTTTGTTTTGTATAGGAATTGTACCAAGTATATTATTGCAGATGTATATTGTGTTTTATTATACCTTGGTAGTTGGAGTATCAACACATCACCGCTATGATTTATAATGAATAATAAGTCTAATACAGTGTCTGTTATTATTACTCCTACTTTTAGTATTATTATATTATTGCCCTATTGAAACAAAAGTTGCAGATGATCAATAAGGTTTACAACAATAAACTGATGTCTGTTCTCGATCCGTCACAATTTTACATGTACTACTTACTATTCCCTCCCACTTTGACGTAATTGAATCAAACTTACATTTTTATTCCTACACATTGCTAGTATGAAAAGTATCCACACCATGACAATCTCGGCTGCCAATAGTATTAGTGGCAGATATGATTTCCATTCCATCACTGGAGATAGGAATTTAATTAGCGAAATATACAACGTTGTGGGGAAAACACACTTGGCATCGACTTGAAAATGACAATGTAGTAGTTGATGCTTTCTACTTACCCATCACCAGTCCACTCTTATCCTCATTCTCACTCATAATACGACGGAAGAGCAGCAATCTCTGCTATATTGCTCTTACTCGCTAATATTGTATTAATATGCAAACCGAAAATTGAATCACACAAGTCCCAACTTGTATCGACAATTGCTTTTTATCTCTTTTTTTTTCTGCATTCTTATTATAGCCGTCTCGATTTAAAACTACAATTGGTAAGGGTACACAGTATTAAATATAGTTAGCCTCAATTGATTGATAATGAAAGATATACATAGTTGCCTTCTTTCACCACATTCCTTTCTTTCTATCTTTGTCTAACACTCACTTTAAGCATTTCCTATCGTTGTCTACTATACCAATTTATATTGTTTCGTTTTGTTTGTCTAAGCAGCAGCAAGATATTAAATTTTGCGGACCAATTAAAGTTTCATGTGCATTCCATAACGGTCAAGTCATTTATAATAAAACAGGAGTGCATAAGTGAAAAGTTGGCTTCTGCAAGAATATAATCTTACAAAAATGTGTGACATAATATTATTTGCATTGGAGAGTATGAAGCTAAACAAAAATAAAATAAAATCATTATTACTAAGTTATAAAAGTCGTAGCGTAGCTAGAGGTGTATTAATATGTAGGAAGTATTCGGTGTATTAGTAATAGTAATAGTAATGGAACCTCTAATCTTGCTGATAGACAAATTTGTATCTGTGTGTGTAGATGGTTTCCAATTTTGATTTTTCAGATCAGCCAGAACGTTTTAGCTTTAAGCTCAAAACAGTAATGGTCGGCATGTATCCTGAGAAATTTTTGCGATAATACCCAATTAAGTAAGATTCGTGACCAAGCAAACGTTCCAAAACTGTTTGACGTTTGAGAGAAAAACGGGTTTATTCTCAATGTGTGTAGGTTACTTCAACGTCGTAGAGCGGGTAGTATAACCATGTATTGCTATGAACAGATGTCAAAAATTTCGGCTTAGAAACCTAAATTTGGTTGTTATTGTTACAAAGAATTCCGTATGCGATTAAGAAAGATCTTTCCCGAGTTATCGATATATTAATATTAATATGACTTGTTCATGGTTACCGTGGTTAATAGGTAATTGATCAATGGCATATTTGTGTTACTACCCCAAATCCCTGTTTCATACCCTAATTAGGTGATATAATGTCACAAAAAATAAATAGATAATATGATCGGCATCTGAAGATCACAAACAACAATGCGACAAGAAATGACATCATAAAATATTGTGTAATATAAATACTTTTTAGAAATCTCTTTTCCAACGACATTCCACGTCAATAAGCCAATAAATACATCATTGGATAATAGATATTAGCGGATTTTAATCTTGGATAAGAGACGTTTTCGCTTGTCTTACAGCGATCTAAGAATGTTGATGACTTACCGTAATTAGTAATCGAAGGGTTGCTTTGTAGCGCAGTAACAACAGTAGGGGGTTGAGCAATCGCATTAAATTTAATTAGTAAACATAACCGTGTTTACTCGTTTTGACAAAGTTGGATTTTATCCATAAACCATATCGGAATTTTAATGCGTGTTTTTAACTTTGATTTATTCATGAGAATGTTCTTAAGTTTTTTGTAATATTGAATAGTACAGCTAACTAAAGATGTTAAACAGCATAGTTTACAAGAGAAGGGTAGATTTTCCACTGCTCGTTCGGCCGATTCTCATTGTTTATTTGAGAGAAAAAAGGAGTGTTGTTATTAATAACAGATACATTAAATTGTGGACATGCAAGTGACAGTTTCTAAAATGAAGTCAAATATCCTTTTTGGGGGGTTTCTCGTGTAAATTCTCTTATACTTGTCTAAATCAGAATTAAAGGGTGGTGTCAATAACTTTCATAAACAAAACATCTTCGTTTAGATGGTCACTTTTTGTCAATAAAAATACTATAACTATGGAGGGTAATTCGTTGTCATTAATATAGATTTAATTTAAACATATTAATATTAATATGGTATTTATTATACTTATTTATGTTATAGAAGTTCTCAAACTACTCATAAATTTTTTTCTGTTTTACTGATGTCCCAGTTATATATAACTTATTGCACTTTATCTAGAAGTCAAGCACACGTGTCTGTAAAGATTTTAAACCCAAATGTTTACTTCCTCGACTACGGTATTATCACCATTAATTTCACTTTTCTTCGATCCGATAACAGCCTTCGTAAATTCCAATTGCTTGTGTACAACAAGTTTTTTTAAGTTGGTCATAACAACGTGTCGAATCAGAACATTATACAGGTATTGAAAATACATTGTTTATATGTTTACGAGAGCGGTGTTTGTTTCGATTTCAGTATTAAACAATAGCTAATAATATTTATATTGCATTTCAATAGTAAATACCGAACGTTAGTATGCTATAATAGTAGAATCGTCATACAAACTTGCTAGAGGACGCTTTTTAATTTTGAAAACAAACGTAATATTGCAAGGAAATAGATTCGTTGAATATACAAAAATCTGCAACCGGTTTATATATGGCTCTAATTTTTAATTCGAAAAAAAAAAGAGGACCAGTATTACGTATATCTTGATGTTGCTTTGCAAAATCCATTATCAAGCCGATATGCGAAGTTTAAGAAATAATATAAAATATGGTCAGACGGGCAGGTAAATGCCATGTATCCATAATAAGAGACATATTTTTCACAGGAAAACCCATCTATATCGCAGATTTAGTCGAAGAGTTCTATGCGAAGAAAGAAAATTAGTGAACAAAAACACAAGCTCCAATTGAACTTTTTTTTTCAAATATGAAAAGCCACAATTCTTTAATGTCTTCTCTTTGTCGAGTTTGTTGCAGTATGCATATATATACATTCCCATTTCTGAATCTGTAACATTCTCCTTCTTACTTCTGGCAGGTCATTACCAAATTCGGCTAGTGTGAATGTTATGGCTGCAGCAACAGACTTGGTCGCACAGAAATCATGTACACGTACTGGTTGTATTGATGAAAAAAGACTCATGCTTGCATTAGATGAGTTGTGCCCATCATTCAACATGCAAGATTCTGAATAAGACCTGCGAGTTCTATGTTCATACTTTATGCTTTCAGATGGTTGTACGTATTTGTTGCATTTTGCTATACGCCGAATATATAAAGCGACTTGACATTGTCCTGAGAATATGGAAATGATTATCACATCGAAACATATTAATATGTAGACCCCTTTTCCGCACCATGAATCCTCCGTATACTTGATATAGAACAAAGCAACAATGCAATACAACGCAGCCCGATACGCCAAAAGATATGCTAATTCGAGGAGGGAAAATTCTACTGACATGATGGATTTGCCCCCGGCGAAAATAGGACTGGTTGTCGGAACTAAGGGAAGAGCAATTAGGGCGATTAGGTAACCAGACAATCGTGTAATAATGTAGTGGTTTAGGCGATTAATTAAAAGTTGATGACAAAAGTGAACGTATGGTGGCCTCAGAGAACGTCTTTTTTTACTCATTACAATTAATACTGGTTTAATTTTACATACACTTTTCGTTATAAACCCTGCTAAAGTGAACAATCAGGAGCCCACGTACATATCGATGGTTATAAAGCCATCATCCGTGGCAGCAAGGAAGCGATAAAAGAAGCCAGACGTCTGATTGCTCAGAAAATACGTCTAGCGCCCAATGTACAACCACATATCGGATATACGGTTCTTGAATTACCAGCATGTGACGGGCTGCCGAAAATCGAGTTTACGCCATATGACTATGCTAGTGTTAATAGATATCACAGAAAACAATCATACCGTGTGAAATTTTGTAACGATAATGCCAATGAAAAGGACTTTTTTGGCTCGTTTGAAGACGGTTGTGATAGCAATGGTCGCCTTCCTTTATTGGCTCCACATTCTCCATACCAATCACATTCTCGACTGTTATCATCTTCAAACCCTTCACCTTCATCCTCTCAATCTTCCTCACGCATTTTCTCCTCTTCACATTCTCGCTCGTCATCAGTCACATCTGTCACTTCCTCCAATAACACTTCCTCTTCCCTTCAACGTTCTCTAAATACATTAACGGATCGCCTGGTGTCTCTGGCCATCACCACTGAACGTTCGCCCACTCGCCGTCCTGAACGTCTTCCGGCCCAGCCATCGGATGCTCAAACATTTACCATAACGCAGTATCTTCCGACAGTAATCTCCGCCGTATCTTCTCACCTCTTCAAAGTAAACCCTAATATATCGATCCAACACGAGGCACGTGTATCGCTTTTCTTTGGGCGCGAGACGTTTTCGGAAATTGATCGCATTCGCTTGGACACGATAGAAAACTGGTGTGTTCTGAATAGAGATAGACATGGATTTCGCAGCAGTTTTCTACATCATGTCCCAGATATGGTAGAGAACCTTTCAAAGGTTCTGAAGAAATTTGGGTTTAAGCGAAGCATCCAAAATAAGCGTAGTGGTAATGTAATCAAGAAGGGTGGACGGAATAATACTGATAATTGCGGTGATAGCAAGAACGAAGTCGATCAAGGAAATCCGATTAAGGACAACAACATTTATCGGGAAAACGGAAGTGTCTGTATAAACTACGATGAGGGAGATGGAATCGGAAAGAAACTCAAACTTCACTGGGATTGCGAAAAAGGTAAGGTTATACCTAGTCTGTGTAACAAGTAATTTACCATTCCTATTAATTAAATCGTTGTCTCTCTAAACGCCTACTTAAAACAAAAGGTGTCTACAAAGCGACCAAGATGTGTGCACTAACTCGTCGAATTGCGATTGTCGATATTGTCCATGGGACATCCGCCCCTGATATTCGTTTCCTGCTCAAAACACATGAAGATGAAGATATCGATCCAGCGAAAGTCGAGCTTATCAGTGAGTTACAAAAGCCACCGCTAAAACTGTTTGATGGAACTTACTTTCAATCAAAGCATTTGAAAGAACGGCTTAGTGTTGACTCGATCAGGCAAATAGTAATGAAGCAAAAGTTTGTGTGAGTTGAATTTTTTTATCCTGTAATTGGATGGATCGAGAGTGACTACGAGTTTGATAGAATACTGTGTTATTGACTTGAACAAACGTAATTAACTTTTTTTGTCAAATTTTACAAGCAATGACAGATTTCAATTAAGTATAATCACGAACCGGAAGGAATCCCGAATATCTCCAGGCAATCTTTCGGAGCCGGTGGAAGAGCAAACGGTTCATCTAAAACATCTTTCATGGAAATTGTATCAAACCAACGACGAAATACGTCAAGTTTATGATAGACAATCACTTGAACATAGTATTAGAGAAACCGTGGCGTTCGCAAGAAAGATTAGCAAGATTCTTGAGGGATAAGAGTTCATGTTTGCAACATTAATATTGAATTTTCAGTCTTGTATAATGAGTAATGTTTGTACATGCACGCAATTCATTATCATCGACTGAGGAATTTTGAAACAAGTGGGGAATACTTTCCTAACCTCGGTGCACTTGTAGAGTTTAACCTTGAAGTAAGATACTGATGTTACACGTGAGAAATATATAGTCGTCAATAAAATTTCTGAACGTCATTTCATGGACACTCTTATTAATAGCCCTAGGGGAGCAAATAAAGCTGAAAATACTGGAATATCACGGAAAGCCGGTTTGTAAGCAACCGAGCAAGGATCGAAGAACAATCCAAGACTAAATCACTTATTGTAGACTATCGGGAGCTGAAGTGGATTGATGATTTATATTTATCATCGCGTAGTACCATTTATAAGCGCTAAGTTTTCAATTCATACAGGAGTCTGGGATTTTCTTTAATTGAAAGATTTCGAGGGGCGTGGAATCTGCTTTTATCGATCAAACGTTCAAATATCCAATGACTAAATAAATGGAGATGATCACGGTGAGTTCGAATTTAGTTACGGATCAAACTCATTACTAGTTTCATAAGCTTTACATAGTTAGTTCTCAATATTTATTTTGTAATAAATGTGGCGGATTAGTATTAGAACGACTTTTGGGGTTTTCTTGATTCCAATTCTTAAAGCTCAGAAACCCACATATACTCTTCTATATCAAACAATACCCTAAATTCTAGCCCAAATTCAAAAAAGTCTAAAAATATTATCCCCCCCCCAAATTTTTTTTACATATTATCCAGACAGCTACAGAAGCGTTGTTTCGGAATTTTGTTAACTCCACCATATCAGCTTACATAATATCGCATTTAATTGGAAGAGGAGTAAACCCCTGAATAAAACTCGGGCATAACCGTAATAGTAAATAGACCGCGAATTACAAGCTCATTCACACACATAGTGTTCGAGTCACTACATCATACGAGTGGATATGTTAATATTGTAAATTGCATTCATTTACTATTACGGCACATCGTTGTCTTCATTACCTACGTCTGAATCTGAATCGAAGCTATTTCTTGGTTTGGGAAAGTTACCGGTAGGTAAGCGCATGCTAGAATATTTGCTCTCCTTTTCAAGACGCGATAACGGTTTTACGTTATTGTGATATATGGTATCCCATAAGTTGCTGTCAGAATTAAGTCCACTAAGATTATCCCAAAGTCTCCGTATATCTGGACGCTTATCAGGATCAGCATCACAACATTGCTCGGCAAGCTTCTTGTATTCTTCTGGTGCTGAATCAGGCATCGATGGTCGTAGTCCGCCCATAATACCGCACACTAAGCCTCTATCGAATTCTCTATCTCTAAAAGGTGGTTCACCTGTGGCAATTAAATACATAATAATACCGAAAGAATATACATCTGATTTTTGAGGGTGTGGAAGACTTCTGGTGCAATAAAAGGCAAAACATCTCGAATGTTTGGATTTGGTCCATGTAAAGTTACTGATTGAGCGAGACCAAGATCGCAAACAAATGATGTTGTTAAATCACTGTCTATGTCTGCGTGCAAAACTATGTTTCCGCCATGAAGATCACAACGCACCAATCCCACATTATGAATACTGTTCAAATACCATGCAATATCCTTCAAATAGTTTAACTTCCTCCTCCATGTCAACTTGTTAATATTTTGATCCAGATACTGCCAATTGTTAGCATATTCCATAACAATTATGTATTCCTTTGTTTCTGGGTCATGTGTGATTCCATAGAGATCAAGGAAATCATCATTTGAACACTTGACATGATTTCTGAACTATTATATGAATAAACAAATAATATCATATAATAGAATGATAAATAAATACAGGGTTACATCAAATATGACTTTAATTAACAATATCAGAGATTACTTACCTCAGAAATAAATATCTCTGGCATTTCATTAAAATTCTTAAAACGTTTTAGTACGATAGTTTGTGACATGTCCTCTTCCTCCAAATATTTTTTGTATTTGGCAGTATAGACTGTCCCATAACCACCAACCCCAATCAGTTTAATTTCATAAAAGTCAGCATATTGCATATACCGCACATATTTAATATTTTTACACGTGAAACAATTTATACTACCTGATGAAAATCAAGCGATCGACTATCGCCTATCTGCTTGAGTGCTACTCGTGTCAATTTGTTTACCGTCGGTTCTAATCATTCCGCTACATGAGTGCATCCATGACGTAATGAGCTCATTTCTCGTACGTCTGTCAACAACGAATACTCTATCCATTGTATATAGGTATCGCCTTTATTCTCATTACTCCATGACTCCATAATAAACGAATCCAATGACCTGTTGCCCATAGTCCAATTGGCAGGTCGTGGCGCTTTACAATGGTAACAGAATTATTTACCGTAGGTCCTAATCGCTTCAGACGTACTGTAATTCCCTATCATATTCGTCTTTTATTAGATAAACACCAACATCTCCAATTTTGTCACACATTAAGTGCAGAAACCAAAAGCGAAAGGCATTAGTCGTTGTCATTATTGGTAAAAGTTTTCGTCTACAAATTTTCATTATCACTGTACGTAAGTAATAACACAATTTAGCATTGGTTTGGGTAATCTTTAAAGAAATAAGGCTGTGGTAATGTTATAAATCTTTGGCTAAAACAAACCAAAAATCAATGATCACAATAAAGTTGTTTGATGAAGCGGCAATATTGAGCAGGTCACACAGTCTCGCACTCGGTAATTAGTCATCAGACCACAGCTAAGACATTTCAGTTACTTGACTTTTGAAAGTAAAGTTGATGCGCCATTGTTTCAGATTTAAGTAGAAAAATTAAATGTAATTATAGAGGTCAAAAAGTGACGAGTACTTTTTCGATTACGTCAAAATTTGGTTAGTCTGTAAATGAAGCCTCTTATTGAGCAACGAAAAATCACCATGTTTGCGCATTTTCCATCTCATATATAAATAAAACACTTGGCGTATGCAGCTTTGCCTCTTTTGTAAAATACCAATTTGGTTAATATCCGTGCTGCCTTTTTTATTTTTATTTTTTATGAAATATATGGTAACTCGTAAACATAAAATTTGTCGTGTTGTATCATTTTTAATACAATATCGTAACAGCAGTCATTTTTGTAACTATCGACAATTTACGAGACACTCGTGGAATTGAAAATGAGGATTTTATTGGAGTTCGTAGATCGATTTATCTTTATCGGATAAATGACAATCCTGTACATACTAATACGGAGTAGAATACCCACTTTTGATAACCGAAACAGCAATATGTTACTATTTAAATTGTGCGATGTATGTTGTTCATCAAGTCCCACTTCTGTATTGTCTCGGTTTATCATTATTAATTAATTAACCGGTTTGTACGGTTTGCAGTATTTGTAACTTGCGCCTATCATTCGCTCTTCTCGCCCTAAACTGGAAAACCCAAAGTTATGTTCTTGGTTGTTTATGCATAATAATTGTGCTTCTGATACTAACAGCGGGAATGGAATTGTGGTCTCGTTGCACGAGTGGCAATCCTAGTTTTTTAATTGGTGCTCTCTAAACATTCACATATTCACCACTGCGAGTAGTGCGCTCTAATTTACTAATCCTATCAATGTAAAGGTAGATCTTGAATGTGAGCATTTATTGACGAATGCACCACATTACGGATAATAATCTACTAAATTTTCCTATTCCCCATAGTATGGTATACAACAATACACTTTACTTTTCATGGTCTATACTTTTACATCTTAAAATTATAACCTATAAGAAAAGATTGCTCACTAATTTACGAGACACGGACAAAAAGTTTCTAATTACCCATATCCCATTTAATTTACACAATCATTAACCAATGCCGTCTTTCTACGTATACGTTCTGACCCAAATCGCAATCTGACCCAATTCGAATAAACACATTTTACTTCGATAACATAAACAATGTTGATTAGATGCCGCTTATCGGTGTGATAGTTAGACAAAGTGCTATTTCGAATTGGGTCAGATTGCGATATCATTATTATCTCTATCAATATTAACCATCCTTTTTTATAGCATAAAACGTAAAACAGATATATTATTAGTGCTCCGCGTCACAATTGCCGTCCTAATTAATTTAAGACGTAATAGTAAATGAGCAGGTTATGGGGAAAAAGAATGACAGGTAATATGTTCTTAATCGGTCTAAAATTATGAACAAGCCAGCTCCTGCAATGACGATGCAGTCACAAACTGGTCGTCACTCGAACGATGACAAGACTACAGTTCAGGATATTACTATTTAGGCCGAATTTGGTGCCAATTTCCCAGCTAATACTACGACTTATGCCCTACAGATTTTAGATCGAATGGCCGTAGGTGTATTAATTGTATGAACCGGCGTATATTTTTTTTAACGAAAGCGACAGTAGTGAAATACAAATTCGGTTGTTAGTTTCCGTAGTTCCGGCAGTAATATCTTTTTTAAACTGTTTTAGGTCGGTTTAGGCGGTTTTTAGGCTGTTATATTATATTTATTTACTACTTTTGTTTGGTAGTATTGTATATAGAGAATGACGATAGGGATGTCGTAGCTGGGATAACGATAGAGCCGGGAAAGCGCTTCCTCGTGATGGCTGGGACTGACCGGAGGGAGGCACCACACATTGCCGTATCAGATCGATATGAGGACGCCCGTGGGAGTGAAAAACTTTTTACTGGGTCATTGTTTTCTTCCATCACCTTTCATCAGCGGACAGATGAATCATTTGTTGTATTATCTTTTCCTAACAATTTGTTGGATGCGATGCTGAATTTTCAGGCTGTAGTAAAAGTTTTTCATTATAACCAATTAGTAACCAAATAGGCTGCTCTGACAACTTTTCGTGGTAGCCTTGTAACCAGATTTTTTATTAAAATTCGTTATTTACTTACAATGGTGCTTGGAACATGGCACATTTGATTCGAATAATCTGTGCATCACTGGCGTGTCAGTATTCGGATTACTCTATATACGTAATACAATGCGATCAGATTTATTGCAAAATTAAACTGGATGACTCGAGATTTTTTAAATTTGGGCAAAGTAGGTAGGAAAAGAAGAAACTTACTGATGATATGCAAGTTTGTAAAAATAGCCTTTTTGATCTTGGTGTCCAATTATCTATGCCGAATCAAACGGATTTCACATTTAGAAGCAGATACAGACGTTCATACTTGAGTTCAGCACCAATTTGGTCTGCTCGACGACATTCTATTTACCGATTGATTGAAATTACTGATGAAGAACAAAGACTATGGTTAAAGCCTGAATTGACAAATTGATTCAAAAACAATTATTAACCTTACGGTTTAACTTTCAGGTCGACATCAAGGCCATGATGCTGTACTGGAAGAAATCAACAAAACACTCAAATTGATTTCGTCTATACCTTAGCGACAGCATTGGGAGTAACTGTACATAAACTTTTTAACGTAATAGGATGTTCTGAAAACGCAACACGCAGCTTTTGCATACGTCTTAGTAAATCACGTCGAGTTTGGGTTTGAATAAAAACAAACACTATTTTGTAAATCTGTGCCTTTCAAACATTCGAGAAATTTCTACAAAACTCCATCATATACATGGGTTAATCCGCCTGTGAGAATTACGACATACAGAGATCAAAATAGTACGCGTGGTTTATCGATAAACCACTGGTCGCTACCTCCTGACTGCCCCGTGAGAATTACGACATTAAGCTATCACAGAGATCAGTTTAATTAAAATCATACGCGTGGTTTTTCAATAAAAAATTTTCACTGGTCGCTACCTGTGAGAATATAAATTTAATGACATCATTATTATAGAGATCAGTTTAATTAAATCGTACGGGCGGATTATTATCCCATTGATTGTTGCCTCCTGACCGCCTGTGGGAGTGATGAAAAAACTTTTCACTGCTGTACTACACTGATAACGATACTCGTTCGCGCTTTTTATGCCTTTGTTACGTAGATAACAACAACAGTTATACTACAACGCGATTGGTGATATGAGACCGCCCGTGGGAGTGAAAAACTTTTTACTGCACGTACAACACTGATATCTTGCGTTTTACGCCCCTTGCTGCATAATTTATACTTATAAGGATGTATACGACGCGATTGATGATGTGAGACGCGATTGATGATAGACCGCCCGTGGGAGTGAAAAAACTTTTACTGCACGTACAACACTGATATCGTGCGTTTCACGCCCCTTGCTGCATAATTTATATTTATACGACGCGATTGATGATGTGAGTCATCATTTGTCATCTAACACGCGAACACGCGTCTATCAACGTATATATACCCCCCCCCCCCTCTCCTTCTCCTCCATCAAAGCGCAAACGCAAAGTTTAATAATATACAACAACAACTATCCATCGGCACACTATATACGGCAATACGGCACAAAACAAGTCCTCGGAACAACGAACTTTTAAGACCCGACAACGACAACGCGGTTTATCGACCGCTCGCCCATGAAGACTTCGGCTCAGACCTATCGCAGTCTTTATATTATATCCGTAATGATTTTCCTGCGAGCTAACAATTCGATGCAAACCAAAGAAAAAAATCCCCGGAGCGAAGTATTTCTTGTTAGTTCTTCTGTTAGGCAACCCGTAAGTCATCCTACTTTTGACTAAAGGAGGGTAGGTCTGATGCTAGTTATCGGCAAATGACGACCTACCTATGCGATAACCAATATGACTACCGTCTCCATCAGCACCGGTTCTGTCGCAAGCGTATTGGCCGTTCCTTTAGACTAAAGAGAGGTGCTAAAAGTAAGTCCTTATCTAGAACTATCAGTTCTTTAGTTGATCTACCGACTCCATAAGAACCGGTTCTGTTCAATGTTTGAAAAGAACTCACGGATCACTAAGATACCTGACCTCCACGTGGTGTGATCTGGGTAACGCTAACAAGGTATCGATTTAATAAATGGAAAACCTATATCCAACCTACATCCATGATGTGCACTCGTCTAATTTTGAAAGATAATATTAATACTCTAATAATTAAACATTCGTGTTTTTGCATTATAATATATAAATTGCAATGAGGTACACAAATAATAAAGTCTTTGCAAATGCCCAAAAAACAACCCCAAAAGCGTTTAGAAATTGATGCAAAATCGACGTAACACCTGTAAAAAGCGAAAAAAAAAAGAACGAGTTGTGCACATTGGATTATGTGAGTAAAAAACCAAGCCACATTCATAGAAATGAAAAAAAAAAAGACCTTATTTGTCTTAATTGACCTCATTGCCTACTTGTCATAAACGTTTGCCTGCGCGCCGAGTTAAAATTACCTTCTTTCATTCTTTTACGCCCCCCAGTATAACATAATTTGGATTAAACAAATCCATAGACTTGTGAGAGTGCTGTTTCCATCGTGTGAGCGTTATAATAAAATTCAAAATAAGGTTTATAATCTAGCGATGCTGTTACCTTTATTTATAAGTCAAAGACCAAAATCAAAAGATCAATGTCGTTGCAGATAAAGGTCATTAAACTCCTTTGGGTAGCCTTGATGCTCTTCAAACATGATTCGTTCACTCGCTTCCTTGCTAGGAATTCGTTCTTAACCCCCCCTTTTTTTTTAAAGATCCAGGCAATCGAATAATGCAAACGTGGAAGAATCGTCTCTTTAAATATGTCACTCGTTTTGTATTTACAAGTTGATGTCAATACGTGCAATTGTAACATTATCTTGTGTATGTTTTGTGGTAAATTGTTCTATCAAAAAGCTACTTAATAGTGATAATGATAAGAATACTATTAACTTTAGTATTTCAACCGCCGTTTTGTATTTACAAGTTGATGTCAATATGTCCAACAATAAATGCATTATGCAACACTATCTTGAATGTACAGTCGACCCTCTTCATACTTGGGCTTGCGTTCCGTCGAGGATCCACTTCTTTCTTATTCATAATATTTTGCACAATAACCATCTCTCAATAACTTTCATTCTCTCCGTCTCCATCCTGGATCGAACTTGTAGCCCCTCTCTAAAATTATACTCAACCGACATGGATTTGGGTTTGGATCTGGTTTATAAGTAAAATAAAACACACGGATAATCTGAGAAATAATAAAAGAAACCTTCTTCGATATATATATTTCATTTTAGCCTTAAACTAACAATGAGCTTTTTCATCAATTTTAGTTATCTTTGATAAGAGCCATGTCAATAGATTACTGCGACTAAGTCCAGCGGAAAGTTTTGGTAGTGTTACCTCAAAGTTTTTATTTTTTCTAAAATGTCTTGGCATTTACGCAGAAACTGACTTTTGCTTTGTCAAGTTGTCTGTTCAATACAAGGTTTTGCTGGTGTAAACGAAATAGCGTTCATTTACGTGATCGCTGTAATATCTTTGTCATACATTTTAATCTCACGTTCATTATTATCGTTTCGAATGTCAATGTAAATTGAGCAGTTCTGTTATAGAATACTGAAAGATAATTATGGGCTTGTAAGAATGTCCTTGCAAATCAACTATTCGTTCGTTCATGCACTTGAAGCTTAATACGTTGCCTTATTTATAAATATGTTATTTCTTCTCTACTAAAATCGTACAACAAAGAATAATTCTGTCCGGATCACATTTCTCGCAAGGTTATTGTCATCTCTCTTGCCATTAAATACTGAAACATCGACAGTTGGACAAAGCAAAGTAACAGCATTCCATCTTGTCATGTGCTTTATTAAGACTCGACTGACATGTCGAGTATAAGTGTCAGATTATATTTTCGAGCAGATACAGTATTTGGGACGACTGAATAAAGTTCTGGCGGGCAACATATTAATATCCAGAATTAGGTTCGACTGGTACTGTTACAACATCAATTTGTTAGACTCATAAGATATTCGTTCAGTGAATTACCCCGTCAATTCACAGAAAACAAGATACGTACAAAACACATCGATTTTATCTCTTCTGTTTTTATTAAAATCTTTAAGTCTGTTAATTTTCAGTCTCTCGAGGTTCGAGCTTTCGTGTTCCAGGGCGTTATAAATCGAAAAAGTGATTTTATATCTCATTAACTGTCTCACAAATTGACAATAAAGACAAGCGTAACAGCGATTCACTTTAGTGTAGAATAAGATTGTTCATCATATATTTCGTTTTCGCTATTTATTATTGGTTGTTGCTTTGTTTTGTTTGTTTGTTTTTACCCTTTACTAACCGGGAACGTTATAACAATAGTAATTCCTACAACTTGTGAACCAGTAATAATCTGTACCGATGTCTTTGAAATCGTCTATCCTTTTTCAACACTACCCGTGAAAACTTGGGCAAAATGGACATATTAACGACGGATTAAGTAATTGAATTTAAATGAATGAACTTGCTTTGATGTCCCTTACTATTTAACTTTCATTGTCACAAATGAACACGTGAAACATTTATACTGAAACCCAATACGACATTACAATAGTTTGAGTTTATACTACTATATTCAAAACTTTTTAATATTTGCTACTCTGAAGTTTGCGTGCTAGCAATCAGTAATGCGAATAGAGAGAGGCGACCAACATGACAAAACCACATATATTTGGCAGAAACAGAACTACGAGTGAAAGCGAAGATAAAAATGACCGCATCGACAATGGGAGTGGAATTCCAGAGGACAGGAAATTTAACAAGAACAAGAGACCCGATACACCAACTTCTCCAGATGTAACTGCTCAAAGCATATATTCGCGTCGTTTATATGCATCTACAGACATAGACTCGCATCCGTCTCCAAAAGTACACCCGTTTTCGCCTTCACACCCGACCATTTGGCGCCAAAACTCCCTCCCAACGTTCCCAACCTCCTCTTCCACGTCCAACAGCTCGTCTGACAAGATGTTTCAAAAAATTCGTCGCGAAGCTGAATCTATCTCTGACATCAATCAAAGATGTACATTCCTCTCCAATCAGTGTCAAAGCTTATCCGAAAAGGTCTCCGACTATGCAAACAAGTTGAAACTATTGAAGGAAGCAGGCGAAACTCAGGTGAAAGCTGTTGAAGCATTAAAATCAACTGTGGCAAGAGAGCAAGGGAAGAAATTAAAAATTAAAAAAGAGCTGCAGACATCGAGGGCCTTATTAGACACTTTACACCAAAATACAACAGCTGTGATAAAATGGTCGGATTTAGATCCGAATAATTCTGTGCACATCACACGAGCACTCGAATCGTTGCTCGAGCCACTTTTAGAGATAGGTCATACTAAACGTCATGTTGACATAAATCAGGCTCAATCTGCGCAATTGCTGAAAATGTATAATTGTAAAATGAAAATCGGGGAACAAGGATTTAAAGTGGTATTGAGTTGCGCTCTGCAACGACTGGTCGTTGAGAGTGTGCTTTGCTTCATGAACGCATGGCTAGGACGCGTTGGATATCCGCAAAAGGAGGTCGTGAATGGAAAAGTGAGCAATATTGTCGCAGAGTGGGTTAGGAAAATGGAAGAAGGGAGTGAAGGAATTAATCTGAATTCGCAAGAATTCGAAATAGTAAAGCATTCAAACGATTTATTAACAATGCTTGAAAATTTCACAAAAAACAAGTCTGATGCAAAAGTAATCCAGGAGCAGACGAAGGTACTGATAAGGCAGCAGGTTTCTTCCTTGTTGGGCCAGCATGCGTTTGCTCACATCGCTTCAGGGCAATCGCGTCCACATCCATTAATTTTGTTCTTGACATGCGAGATCATATCTCTTGTTTCTACCTACGTCTCTTATCGTTCATTCACTTCTCGGACTTCCTTTCCGTATTCACATCCTCTTTACAACACGGTCGTGTCTTTCCTCGAGTCACTAATTTCTGTAATGCATTTCCAACTCACAACTCAAGACCCTGTACCCCAATGGAGGTTTTATGAAGCGGGGGAAAGAGTCAGTCATGAGGTTATGACTGGTCCGTGGAGTCTTGACGACGAGGACGATGATGATGATGATGATGATGATGAGGAGTATGAGCATAAAAGTGGTCATACGGGATCAACGAGGCAAAAAAGACAAAAGAAAGGAGCACTGGAAGTTGAGATATGTTGGTTTCCAATCGTCGCGTTAAATACTGACATTGTAAAGAAGCCAGGTCAGAACAGAAGTATTTATTGTAAAGCGAAAGTCTGGGCACGAAAAAGTGATCTCGACTACGAATAAGAAAACGAGCGAACGAGAATGCGTAAACGATGGCTAGAAGCATGTCATATCTGATCACTCTCTCCACAATTGGGGTTTCTGACGCATTATCACCTTCGTATATATTATTTTCGTGATTTTTGCTAAAGATGTATAGAAGCAACCATATTGTATATTAACATCTTTCATATAATATATATTTAATCAATTGACTTATTTCAATAAACGAACCTTCCTTTTCTTCTTTGCTTCAGCCCGTGCTTTGATATTCTCCATTCTCTTTGCTTGCCTTTCCATCTTGTTCTTTTCGACATTTTCTGCTCTCTCCTTCCTAGGAGGAAAATAGTCAAGCCGTATGAGATTGGCGTATGAGCGGGAATTGTTCTCATTACAATCAGGAATAGGTAAACTCTTTATGCATTCACATACCATGCTTTCTCACTTTTCTTTTTCTTCTGTTGATTGTGTTTTATCGTCTTGTTTAGTAATTTGGGGTCATCTTTGACTTTTTCTCCACGTGCTTTCTGAATCAGCTTCTGCCATGTTTCCTTTTCTTCAATTTTCTCAGCCTATCAAAGAAGGAAAAGTTCTAGCAAGATACATGTAACGCAAATATTTGCGACTTGTGCATTGACTCCTCTTCTTTCATAACGCATATACCTTTATAGGATCCACTTGCTTAACTTTATCCACCTTCTTCTTTTTAGTTTCCAACTTATTCAGCATTTGTACTTCGCTAATTTTCTTCTTGGGTTTTTTCGTGTCATCGTCAAAGTTGAGCTTATTAAAAATGATCATTTGATCCCCTTTGCTACTTTTTTGATCGCTTCCCTTGTCTGTCGCATCCGCATCCGTATTGCTGTTGCTACTCTTTGTCTTGGAACCGAAATTTTCAAGTCCTTTTTTATCTACATGATTCTTGTTATTTATCTTGTTCTTGTTTGGTTTTTGCTTAGGTTTTACTTTTTTCCCCGTTTGTTTCTTTTCAACCTCCTCTGACGTTGAGTTTGTTGCCATAACAGATTTTTTGGCAGCCCGAAATTTAACAAGACGTTCGGCCACTGTTATTATTTTGTTTCCTGGTGCTTTTCGAGGTTTCTCGGATGCAAAATTCTTTTCATCATTATTGTCGATTTTATCAGTTAAAGCGGGCGGATGGTCGTTATCCGCTTGACCATTTAGTTGTTGTGCCAACCGCCTTTTAATAAGTTTTTCTTGTTGTATATCAGTCACAGTTTTCAGATTTTTGGGATCGAGCTATAGAGTAGAGTTAGATTGATTTGCGCAAGTTCCAAATTCCACATCGAGTTTTTACGTATTCCAGATCAATCTTACCTTTAATCGCTTTGTTCTCTGTCTTTTTTCTTTCAACGCTTGTTGATCTTTTCGTTTTCTTTTATTCGGTTGAGGCCGAATATTCTGATCTGCATCTGAATCCTGTAACGAAATGAGAAGTAATATTATAATTATGAACAGAAATACAAAAACAGACCAATATTTCGCTTACCTCTTCCCTCAATTCATTTTTGAAATAATACTTGGCTGGTATTAAACTTAATGTTTGATCAATGTAGTCGCTGTGAGACTGGATGTTAGTCTATCGAGTGTTAAATAGAGAAGCCAATGTGAATGCGCAGTTAATGTCATATGTATTTCATCTGATGCTAAGTTTACATTAAGATTAGATAAATCGAATCCGGAAGTCATATGTAATTTCAACGAGCGATTTCAAAGCTTGAGAATTTCGAATGTGTGATGATCAACCGGAGCACTATGAAAAAATTTCGATCACATAAATTTTTTTGTCCGGCACATGATGATTGATACAGGTTCCTGATTGGTTATTTGTAAATAAATCTTCACATCGATTCCGTTCTTAGTATTAGGTGTTAGTTAAATATATTTAACTAATTACTAGATAGCAAGGGAAAAAATTTCCATTGTAGTACAAATACAGTGCATTTTATTATCACGTGAATTAAGTGGTATATAATCAATTTTCGTTCCATCTTTCGTGAAAATAAACTTTAGCAAATGTCAGTTTACCCACTATACAAGGAGATCTTCCCGCCGACGAGTGTTGAGCACTGTCTGTGTGCCAAATTTACATCTCCATATGATACGAATTTGATACTTGCCCGGACGTCAGTACTAGAAATTTATAGATTCAGAGAAGAAGTTGATGTTGCGAGTGAATTGGCTGCTGGGGAAAATGAGGATATGGAAGTTCAGGAATTTGGTGGGGACGAAGATCAGGTAGGAAGTGAGAGTTTGTGAAAAGACGAAAGGGAAATGTTTGGAGAATGATTTGAGAGATATACGAGGAAAGAGAAGAGAGTGGGAAAGGGGAAGAGGACGGGAAGGAGGGATCGATGGAAAATCAGAAATTTCAGCAGGAGTTTTGTAAGATAGCAGTATTATTGTAGACTTAGATAATGACAAGTTGGGATGATTGTGAAGTCGAGAAGGAAGAACAATAAAGAGTTTAATGCATTATAAAGAAGCTATCAATTGTTATCAGAACCTGGTGAGATTATCACTTTCCTACAACATGACTTGTTTCTCCAAGATAAAACAAATTCTTGGTACAAACGAATGATGCTTGGTATTGATTAAACCCACCTTCCAATGTGTATACATTATATGTAGAGTGATGTTATAATAAGCTTTTGGTTGTCGCTACTGCCAAGAAGAAGAAGATAAAGAGTTTACCATGATGGTACTAGCCATGTGCACAGTTTGTAGCTGTGAGGGTCGGAAGAAATAATATTACGATAAAGATTTAACCGATCTACTGCTATTGCTCTAGCAATAATAACAAATTGCTACTTGATTTATTGGACATCTCTTTGTAATCTAACGCTATTGTCATTTATTTCACTATAACTTTCTTAATTTATGTCCCTTATCCAATAATTTATCTCTTTCCCGATTATTATTATTGTTTACACACCCCTCACCCACCACAGAAATTCCTCTTCCCTACGCTAACCCCGGCATCAACCGCCCCTGTCATGACTGCCCGATTGGAACTAGTTGCAAAGTATAAATTACACGGGAATATCATGTCGATGGGAGTAGTTACAACTATAACTTCTGCTATGAATGGATTGGACAGTTTACTTTTGACTTTTGAGGATGCTAAGGTGCGTGCTGAATTAATTAGTGAGATACGTGGGTTTGTGAGGAATACACAATCTGAAGCGCGTTGTGGAAGCTGTACTACTGTGTCGTTCATTGTATTTACAAGCGGAAACAGTTATCTCTTTTAGAGTACTCTCTTGCAACAAACAGCATTGTTACAGTGTCAATACATTTTTATGAGAGAGAAGATTTCAAGGTACGCACGATTATTCGAACTCTTGACAGATCTCTGCACGAGTCTATTGTATCCTTAGCGTAAACTTTTTCTTGACGCCAACAGCGTGAATTTTTGTCAAATACTTACGCCCCAAAAGTACATGTGGATCCATCAAACCGATGTGCGGTTACGAATTTTTATGGCGATAAGTTGGCCATCTTACCATTTTGTCAGGAAGAGACTTTACACATCGATGAAGAGGAAACTGCAAGGTAGGTCGATACTTGAGTGAACAGTATTATATTTGTCGAGCTGTCAACGAGTAACGATTTGAACGCGTTTTCTAGTAATCGCCCGTACGCGCCAAGTTTCGTTGTTGATTTAGCTTCGATTCATCCTGAAATTAAAAACGTTATTGATATGACGTTTCTTTACGATTATTATGAGCCGACTTTGGCTATTCTATTTGAAACTGTTCAGACGTGGCCTGGGTACGTGTAAAAACAAATGCAATATGCTCAATTATAGAAAATTTTGACTTTTGTTCACCGATCTCATCTCCCCACTTAAATTATGAATCTTTTCACTGACGTTTCAAACCGCCTTTCCTAAACTTTTTTTCCGACAGCAAACTTTCATCAAAGAAAGATACCTGCTCATTAATAATAGTATCTCTTGACATATCACAAAAGCATTACCCAATAATCTACTCTCCGAAGCCTCTCCCATCGTCCAGCCTCCGTCTCATACCCATTCCTCGACCGATAGGCGGCATTCTTGTAATTTTCAGTAATGGAATAATTCACATCGATCAATCATCTCCGGCGACAGGAATCGCTCTGAATGCTTTTGCATCAAGTACGACGGACTTTCCCCTCTCTTACAAGTACTCTACTCTTGGAGTAGCCTTAGAAGGCTGTCAGCACGTTGTAATAGACTCTTCTCGTGTAATGTTGTTCTCACGAGACGGAGATATGTATCTAGTTGAATTGATTCAGGATGGAAGGAGCGTACAGAGGATCGAGATCGAAAAAGTCGGTGCTAGTACTATACCAAGTTGTGCATGTTTGGTTTCTGATGGATATTTTTTTCTGGGAAGTAGTCTTGGGGAGAGCTATTTAATTCAATACGGTGAGGAGGGGAAAGAAGAAGACGGTGAGAATAAAGAAAGGAAAAGAAGCTTGTTGGTAAGTTGTGGGTAGTAGAGGGTAGCGGAGCAGACTCAAAGCCGTGTGCAGTGAAACGGTTGAGATCATTTGCACTGACAATTAGAAATGAATATTAGGGCTAATCATTTGGTTTGGAATTTGGGAACGTAAACTTTGATCCTATTGACGTGAATATTACGATAATATGTGATTTGTTAGGTTAGAAGGAATACGGCAGAACTCGACGCTGGTAAGTTTAATATTTTCGTTAAAATTCCTATTCCTTCAATGATGTGTTGACGAGTACAATTTTATCCGGCCTTGATTTATTTATTTGAACTTTAAAGATCTGTATGGAACTGACAGCCGAACGAGCACAATAGTTACATCAACAGAAACAGAGAACAAGAAGACTGGTTCGGGAGAACTCTGGTTTCGAGTTTGTGATACTTTAATCAACGTAGGGCCTATCGTCGACATGACAGTGGGCGAGCCAACATATGGAGAGGTTAGTGCTTGTATGATAGTTGAGAAAGAAAATGAGGGATGTGTAAAAATATAACTAAGGGAATGTTTGTGGATAGAATGTTTATTTAAAGTCGTTTGCTTTTGAACAGGATGATATGAATCATAACGTAAGAAAAGACGTAGAGTTAGTTACTTGCTCAGGCTATGGCAAGACTGGATCTTTGTGCGTTTTCCATGTAAGTACTAATGATGTTATTTACTAATTCTCGAAGTCGAATCAAACTAACATTGATTTCCCGTCTAAGCGTGCAATTATTCCTCGAATTATCTCATCGTTCGATCTTAGTGAATGCAATGACATGTGGACAGTTCGATGTCGGAAGGAATTCATTTACGAAGGAGTGAGGTTTGATTTTGGAGAAGCCGGGAGTAGTATGGAAGACAGTCAATCGGAAACGTTTGATAAATATTTGTTTATATCCAAAAACGCGAGAACGATGGTACAGTTACGAAGATTATTTTTAAAAAAACATTTTACATTCATTAACATGATTATTATGTGTAGGTACTTATGACAGGGGAGGATATCCAAGAGCTCGATAACGCAGGTTTTTATACCGAAGGCCCAACGATATCAGTTGGAACTTTGTTTAATGAAACCCGTATAGTGCAAGTGTATGCCAATGGGATCAGCCTTCTCAATGCTGGTGATTATTTAATAATTCTACCAAAAAAAACGTTGAATATTATTTTATTCTTACATTTTGTTTTCATAGATGGTATTACAACTCAATCGATACCATTCAGTAATGATTCCGAAAATGCAGTCATAGTCAGTGCACATATTGTTGATCCCTATGTATTATTACTATGCGAAGATGGATCAATTAAATTATTAAAAGCAGATGATACTTCAAACGAGATTGTTTTCTGCAAATTGACAAGTGATATTAATGTAAGTAAAAGCAATTTTTGGATTGTTACTCCTAGTAAGCGTATATTATTCAACAGTGTCAGAACATCTCTTTATTTCTACTTTCTCGTAGGCAGAGCCAATAATATCATGTTGCGTGTATCGTGACGAGTCGGATTTATTTACTCTATACAGAGACTTAACCCAATACCTCCCGTCAAAACCACTTCAACCCAGAAAAAAGCCTCCTGTCTCACCACAACCCGAAAATCATAACTCTCCCCAAGTAACATCACAGAAATTGCATGATTTGGACGATGATATAGACAATGAGCTGTATGGAGACGATAGTATTGTAGAAGATATAGTCATAGATGAAGCAAACAACATAATAGAAAAGAAGGAAGTGCGGGGGGAAAAGGGTGAAGAAAATGGGAAGACGGAGATGCAGGTAGACGAAGAAGAAAGAGCAGGAAATGAGGAAGAGTTAAAAGAAGACAAAAAAGTGGCAGAACATAAGGTTACTGGTATGGAAGACGAGACTAAGGCGACTTTTTGGGCTGTGTTATTGAGGATTGACGGAGCATTGGAGGTTAGTACGTGACAGGAATGACTGTCAAAATATTGTTATGCTTACGAGATATTCAACATGTATTGGTGAATATAATGCTTTGGGACAAATATTTTGCTACTTCTATGATCTAAAGTATATCATCATTAACAACTGTCAATCGTTAGATCTACCAACTACCGGACTTTCAAGAAGTTTTTTGCTTTCCCAACTTTGATAGTTTACCACAAGTTTTATCAGATGTCACTTCACGCCAGAATGTCAAAGCATCGGGACAATCAATAGAAGTGATTGAAATACTTATGACATCTCTTGGAGAGAACAAGAAATCCCCATATTTGATAGTATGTATTGTCTATTGCTGTTCAAATAACCACTTCGCCATGTTTACGAATAATCTCACGAGTACTTCACCATCATCATTATAATATTATAATCCAAGGTTCGCACGCGTCTTGGCGACATTCTAATTTACTCAGCGTTTCGTTCCTGGACCTCTTCTGACACGACTCCTGTCAACTACTTTCTTTCCACAACTCCCAATCCAACCACACCAACCACGCCTACAGTCTCTTATTTCCCAACTCGATTGGCTCTCCGTTTTTCTCGTATTCACCACGAATACATAGCTCGAGATCCCATTCACGCTGACACTGAAGATAAGCCCGTGTCTAACCGCACTTACCCCTATAATCCTGACGAACCTTGGCCCGAGACTTCAAATCCTTCACCCTCTTTACAGTCGATAATGAAGTCGATAAAAAGAAGATTGATTCCGTTTAGAAATGTAAAGGGCTTCGCAGGCGTATTTGTCACTGGTGCTAGGCCAGTATGGGTGATTTGCGGTGCAAAGCGTTATGTTAGGGTACTGCCTATGGGTGGTGAGGATGGGATTAAAGCTTTTACACAATTTCACAACGTTAATTGTGTTCACGGGTTTCTATATTCTAATATTGAGGTACGGTTTAAGCTTTTGATTTGGAAAAGAGGTATTTTAGGCTGACTACGATAGAAGGGATTTGTGATTATGGTTTGCGAATCGAGTATTTTTAATTATCTACATATGACTCCGTTTACTTTTAATTTTTGCGTTGCTATGCAGGATGTATGTCGAATGGGCATTCTTCCGTCTGACTTTAGTTACGATCTTGAATGGCCCGTGAAGAAGATAAATCTTGGAAGGTCAGTTCACGGTATAGAATATCATCCGGATATGCAAGTCCATGCATTGTTGTCGTCAGTCACAGTTTCGTTTAGACTTCATGACGATAACGGAGAACCGATTGTCGGAGAATATGGTAATGTTATATATATCATAATTCTTGACATAGTTACTAAGGCGTTGAAGGGTACTGTATGTTGCAAGATTGATATATCGGTTGCGTTGACCTTTTTTTTGCAGAGGATCCCAATTTTCCACCCAAGACCCAAAAATTTACTCTTGAACTCATTTCGCCCGTCACTTGGGAGACAGTTGACAGGTTGGTCGAACGACTTGTGTCTTTGCGGCGTTTAAGAAAGTATTGATTTCTTATACGCCCCGTTTCTTAATAATAGACATGATTTCAATGAAGACGAACAAGGTCTATGTATCAAATGCGTCAGTCTACAGACAAAGTCAACTGCAAGTGGAAGGAAAGCCTTCATCGCTGTTGGGACAGGATATTTCAGAGGAGAGGATGTTGGAATGCGTGGAACCGTATGTTACATTGAATTTATACTTGTAAGAAATGTTTCCATATTATGTATGGGTTCTAATGATTTTCTTAATAGATTTACGTATACGAAATAATTGAGGTAGTCCCTGAACCCGACAATCCACAAACGAATCATAAATTCAAATTGTTGTGTTTTGAAGATGTCAAAGGATCCGTCTCCGCCATCTGCGATGTAAATGGCTACTTATTGACCTGCGTTGGACCAAAGGTAACTCACGCAATCGTGCAAGAATACATATTTTTAGATTGATTTGGCTAAACTGTCATTGTGTATGTAGATTTTCATTCGCGCATTTGAGGACAACGACCGGTTAATTAGTGTCGCATTTATCGACATTCAAATATATGCGACATGTGTTTCTCCCATAAAAGACTTTATTTTGTTAGGAGATATATACAATAGCGCCTGGTTCTTAGGTTTTCAAGTAAGTATATTACTAAACTTAAGCGCTGAACATACATGTCTGACTATAATTTACTAGATCAATTTGTTATTTTAGGAAGAACCAGCAAAACTAGCCCTCCTTGGGAAAGACTACCACAAACTCTCAGTAATTGCTGCGAATTTCATATTAGATGACCGAGTACTTTACTTTGTCATTGCAGACAACGACAAAAACATCCATCTATTCCAATACGCGCCATACAGTAATATCACGTTATCATTTGCAACCGCCTGTTTCATTCGCAAGACGTTAAACTGACTATTGCCTCCAATACTTTACAATTCATAGATCTACAATCGTTTGCAGGGCAGAAACTCGTTCGTCGAGGTGATTTCCATGTGGGAGCACAGATCAATACCATGGTTAGGATAAAGCGTCGAGAAGTTGTGAGGAGAGATAACGCCGGAGCGGATCAAATGATGATGACGGACGAAGAGAGTGGATCTTTTGCTGAATTGTGTTTGTGCGGTGAGTGGTCATGGGCGAAAGCTGTACTAATTAATGAATCGACCAAAGATGTATGTTTGTAAACAGAGTGTGGGAAATATTGATGGAATAAAATTTTGTACAGGAACGTTGGATGGCAGTATCGGAATGGTAACGCCAATACCGGAGAAAATGTACAAGAGGATGCAGTTATTGCATGCACAAATGGTTAATGGCATTCCACATCCTGCTGGATTGAATCCGAAATCATTTAGGTAATGTATACCAGTTATCCACACCCACATTTTTCCACCCGCTGACTACAGGGATCTAAATAGCTTGCATATCTCTCTTATATTCAACATCCTGACACCTCTAGACTTCTTCAATCAAAATTACGCCTTCTCCAAAATCCGGTAAAATCAATCCTAGATGGTGACCTTATTTTTGAGTTCCCGTCACTTGCACAAAACAGACAGCGCGAAATGACAAAGCAAATTGGTACGAGCGTTGAGAGGGTTATGGATGATTTGTTAACTATGCAGATTGCACTTGATCACTTTTAGATTTACGGATTTTAGAAAATACGCGACTCAAGTGATGCGAATAGACTTGTCTAATGCAAATTTTGTGATTGTGACGTTTGTTAGATAAAGATAGAAACAATTGTTTATTATATGAGATACGTGGCAACAAACTAAAGATTTTAGTGTTAATATTTAATTTTAAGGCGTGAAGGCATTCTGTTTATAATTCGATGGTCTTAATGAAAAAAATTGAACGAATATTGACCTTTTTATGCTCGTGAATTATAATGACAAGATCCAGTTTATAATCATTTCCTTCTGTCGGAAAGAATCACTACTATCGTCAAAACCGGTCTCTAGCAATTTCCGGAAGTACCTCGAGAATCACCGGTTAAAAAATTTTGTTTATTTTTCTTGTCTATTACTATGGCAATATTCCTTACCGTTTTCTAAGGTGACTATTGATCAATATTCCGGACTTCGATCATTGCTATATTCTCGTACGTGCTGCGGATTCTTAACGAAAGAGATTGTCATATGGCTGAAGAGCGTAGTCGATGAACAGTCTATCTGCTTATTCTGATAGTTCGGCAAATTTTTATAGCAAGCATACGTGATACTGTACAGTCTATTCTGGTTATAATGATTTTAAGATCTGCTTTACGATGAAGATTGTCTCCAATTATAAAGAATTCTAGTTATAAGTGTTCTGGTCCGTAGCGCGTTTCGCGATGTGCACATTATCTGATAGAAATAAAAGTCAAGAGCTAGAATAATGACCCAAACCTGAAACTTGAACACCAGAATATGTAACTTTTCTTTATCTGTTCTGATGTTACCATAACATCTACGATAAACGTTATCTTATTATTATATACTATAATCTGTCCAGCTTTAGCTCATACATATGTATCTTTGCTCATCACAAACGTGAATACAAACATTTAACAACAGTTCTTGTGTATACTTACATCTAAGCGAATGTGGCTGAAATAGCCTCACAAACGCCAGAGACGACATTGTTTGATTAATAAGGGAGTGACACCGAAAAGTATTTAACTCGAGTTGACTGTGTAGTTATATTTCCCATCTTCAACATGGTAACCGCATTCGGAAACCCCCTTGGACGCGGAATTCCCTCACGAGAAGGCAGTCCTATCCAACTTGTTAGATATGAGAAAAATGGTTCCGACGAATTTGGAAAGATTCACGTCGTGCCCGAAGCTTTGAAAATATTACAACGAATAAAAGAGCCTTTAGCAGTAATAGCCGTTGGTAAATATCAACTTAATTTCTATCAATGTTGGTAATAAATTAGAATAAATGTTGATTTCGATGCCATTCCAACATTAGTCGGCTCATACAGAAGAGGGAAGTCTTGGTAAGATTGCATTTTATATTAAATCTCGTATTTGACATATAGGTTTTAGCTAATTAGTTGTTCAAGTCATATTGTTGCAATGGAGTACTACAATAAGGTGTTAGGGCTTTCTTCGCCAGCAACCAATCTGTCTAAGTGTTTTATTAAAATTTGTTTAGGTTCGCTAATGCATTGCATGGTCGACATGATGGATTTGAACTCGGAGCGCAAGTTAGCGGTTGTACAAGGGGTATCTACATGTGGGATACACCTTTCATTTACGAAGGAAAAAGGTACACGTCATTTTAAAATTAGTCTGCCTTGCAAAGTTAGCATGTTTAACTCATATATACGTATTTCGACGGCAGAGTTATTGTGCTCGATACCGAAGGCATCGATGACCCGAAACAAGAGTCGGAATGGGCAACCAAGTTATTCATTCTCTGCCTTGTGGTTTCGTCAACTTTTATCTACAATATAAACGGGGTGGTAGGAAGTGGCGACATTGGCAAGCTGTTGTTAATGCAAGATTTATCCAAATATATCCAACCCCCAGAGGACAGCAAGTACCTACCTCATTTAGTAATTTTGCTTAGGGATTTTGGCCTAGAAAAACCAGATTCGTTAAAAGAATACTTCTTGGATAACTTGGCAAGAACCAGTCGTGAAGGTATTTGTTTGGTTGGTTTCTGTGTATACAGAAGGCCGTGCTAAGGCTAAAGTTTTTTCCCAAATCAACAGCTGCTGAAGGCATTAAAAAAAATCGTTTAAAGAATTCAGCGTCTTTGCTTTACCGGTATGCACATTTTAACCTCTCTTCTTTTTATAAATTTATATGAACCCGTTCTTGCTTAGCAACATTTTTAATAATATAGCATCCAGGTGTCGGAGGCAGGCGCCTTCAACAAATGCAAGCAGTCAGCACACACGAGCTTGATGAGGAATTTGTTGAAGAAACGGTCGAATCCGTAAAGCAGATATATAGAAAACTTGAACCTAAATGTATAGGTCATCTGAAAATGAACGGTTTATCATTTGCAAAATTTCTTGCTGATTGTGTGGAGAAGATGAACGATCCAGCAAACCATGCCCATTTATCTATTCCAAATGAGTATGAAATTGTAGTCCAATACGTGGCACAAACCATGCGAGACCGGTGTCTTGGATTGTACCGAAAAGCTTTGAAGAAATTAGCAGAGTCTATACCGATGCCTTGGAATGAGTTTACTGCAATACATCAAACAATTTTTGAAACCATTATGAAAGAATATGTGGGAGGCCTCGTTGGGACTTTGAAGCAAATTGAAAGGTTTAAGGAAAATTTTCAATGCGATCTGGAAGAAGCTAAGAAGCCATATCAAGATAAGAATTCAAAAGAGCTGTACGCGTTCAATATTAGGCAGGCCAAAACACTATGGAATCAGCTGATTGAACCAGGCTTGAAATTTGACCAGTTATTTGTAAGTATTTTATTCCTCGCGTCAGCTTGAACTCGAGATTTGATGATTTACTGTTTTATTAATGTGCTTTATGATACAGACTGAAGTCGAATTTCGCGAGGCTCTTAAAAACTTTGAACAGCAATTTGGACAGATTTGGATTGAATCTCCCGAAGCTATGGAAGCGTTAAAGTACCATAAGGAAAACTATTATAAATCAGCGATCGACACTCTTACGAACCTCAATGTATTCAACGAGAAACTGGCCGAAGAAATGAAAGAACGGGAGAAACTTCATAAACAATACCTGGAACTTGCTAAGAGAGAAATGGAACTCAACAACAAGTTGGAGGAGCGCGATCAGCAAATACAAACCATAACGGAAACATTAAATGTAAAGAGCCAAGAGATTCAGCAAGCCATGGAAAAACAACATTTAGCGGAACTAAATATGGAAACACTTAAGGCTGAGAATCAGAGAGCAATTAATGACATGAGAGCCAAACGTGCAGAAGATATGGCAAAGAACCAGCAAGCCATGGAAAACCAAAAATTAGCTATGGAAAGACTTAAAGCTGAAAATCAGAGAGTAGTTAATGACATGAGTACCAAACATGCAGAAGATATGGCAAAGAACCAGCAAGCTATGGAAAACCAAAAACTAGCTATGGAAAGACTTAAAGCTGAGAAGCAGAGAGAAGATATGGCAAAGAACCAAGAGATTCGGCAAGCCATGGAAAAACAACGTTTGGCTATGGAAAGGCTTAAAGCTGAGAATCAGAGAATAATTAATGATATGACAACCAAACATGTAGAAGATATGGCAAGATTACAAAGAGAGTTACAAGAAACACAAAGTAGTAGGAGTGGTTTTCGTATTTGCACCATTCAATAAATGCGGTATGAAATCCAGTCATTTCTAATGGTTAGTTCTGGAGACGGCTAAATATACTAAATGATCCTACTATAGCTAATAGATTTTAGCATGACCGAAAACTTTTTAGTTGTTCAATAAAATTTTGATATATTTAAACTCTTCAACCTGATAAAACTTTGCAGCTTGCTCATTGCTTCATATCGCCTCGATTACCAGTCTTTCTATATATAAATGTGACCAAGAAAACTTTAATTGGAAATTATTTTGAGATGGGAAAGCCTACAGTCATAAGTCAAACCGATATTTCTGTTTCGCCAAAACTTTATCGTTATTGGTAGATCGGGGTTTGTACTTTTTGCCGATAATATATGAGTGATACCGTTTATCGGTTGTTGAATAACAAAAAATAAAATTTTTTTGAGATAAGCAAAACTCAGCAGACGGGTTGAAAGAAAGTCAAATAATACGTGTCGGTCTAAAGCGGACTTAATTTTGTCTTCCTCGGTTGTTTTTATTCTTTCACAATCGTGATTAACAACGGTCGCCAATTACCAAGTAATAATTAATGTAAGCAAATATACATATTCAGTTACCGCTACCTTTATCTTACTGATGTGCTGTTTGGCTACACAGGAGAAAGTCGGTTTCGTGCACCTTGCTTACAATCGCGTCCAATATACGCAATACTCATAAACACAACGCGTGTTTTTTACTTCATCATCCGCTTTCTGCCTTCATGCTGATACCGAAAGACTACTCGTCCTGACCGTCTATTCGATGCGCGCGTTTAATTGATTCACTACCGTTTCCAACGTCTTCCAAATTCATCGTTATGGGATTGAGGAACCATACGTTTTTGTTTGTGGGTAGAGGATGATTTATTATAAGCATTTGTTCAGACTTTTTCGGACAGATTGGGAGTGTCAAAGAATGTCATCTTCATACTCGACTCGGAGTAAATTGCATTCATCATAATATTCAATGTCCAAAAATCAAATGTCTATGTTAATAAACGATTCTCATTCGATTCGTCTGATGCATGTACGCCCAACTAAAGCAGTTGGAGATCGTTGTCGATCGGCTAGAATTAATCAATCAATATTGAATGGCCTGTTGAGCAGAAACTTAGCTGATATACAAGTGGATACGATCAAGGTTCTATTTATACAAATTGCTGGCGTTTTCGGACAGCTGTTGGTAGAAGACATGGTAAACGGCTTTTACGTTGTTTTTCCTGGTTCAACATTCGTGTTACCAACAAAATTGGCTCATTTGGAAAAATTAAAATCAACAATAAAAAATTTTAACCATGTAATGGTAAGTACTAAAAGTTAGTCGATAGCAAGTCACATGGTAAAATCTT